TCTTTCTTTCTTTCTTTCTTTCTTTCTTTCTTTCTTTCTTTCTTTCTTTCTTTCTTTCTTTCTTTCTTTCTTTCTTTCTTTCTTTCTTTCCCTTACTGGGAATCAAACTGAGGACTTTGAGCTTGCCAGGCAGGTGCAGGGCCACTGAGCTATATCCTCAGCCCTGCAAGTCCGTCCTTATACTATTCTTTCTAAATAGTTCACACTAAGTATTTCCTTATAGGTGAGGATTTTATTTTAGATTTTATTATATACTGTTCTTTTTTTATCTTTGTATTTCTTTTCAGAAAATATATGGGTAGATTTCCTTGTTGCAAAGCTAGGACCCACAGTCTAACATTTCTCATAAGAACATGAAATTTAAGTTAATTTAAAATGTGTTGATTGCCTGTTACTTCTGTAACCTTTTGAAAATATTATTTACTACTAGCAAGTGTTTGCTGAGGGGTTACTGAATATAATGCGCTCGTGGGCACTGTCTGTCTCAGTGGATGAGGCAGACGTGGCATACCCTTGTCGATGGGTAGTCTGCCTGCCAGACTTGAAACCCTAACTCTGCTGGGAATGGCAGGTGCAGGGCTCCTGATGGGCAGCACTTCTAACAGGCCTAGCCCAGGGGCAGAGAAGGCAGCATATTTCTGTTGAGACCCAAAGGGGTGGTGTTTCGAGGGAACAGCAAGGATGAGTTAAAAAAGACAAGCAGGGGCCGGGGATTTAGCTCAGTGGTTTCGCTGCCTTCTTCGCAAGCGCAAGGACCCGAGTTCTATCCCTGGTACCAAAAAAAAAAAGGACGAGAGACTGAGTCAAAGCAGGGACAAAGGCACTGACGGTGCGCAAGGCCCAAGTGCAGGCACTGGTGAGCCCCGTCTGGCACATCGCTGACACTCGTCCTTCACACGGGCCTCCTGGCCAAGACCAGACTCACAGTGGGTGAGGACCACGCGAGGCGTGACCATAGTCACATAACCACTGTTATGTAACTGCCCTCTACAGACAGACTGCGAGGGAAGGAGGGGCAATGAAGAGGGTGGCTTAACTCAGGAGGTCGCCCGCTCCCTACCCTCAGTCACAGCTACCACTAGGGGTTAGCTTCTAAGTCAGTCCATCAATCAGTCGATCGATTGTCACAGTGATCCTCCTGCCTCAGCCTCCCAAGTTCTAGGATTACAGGCATGTGCCACCACACCTGGCTATGTCTGTTGGTTTCCTCCCTTCCTTTGTGGCTCTGAATATTCTTACCACCTCTGTCCTCTGTTACCACAGTAGCTGCCTAACATCGCATCAGGTATCCTCCACACTAGTGCCCTGGGCGATCATTCTAAAATACATTTCTGAATCTCTCTCTATTTCTCTCTTCTTTTTTTATGTGTGTGTGCGGGGGAGGAGGGGTGTTTGTTTGTTTGCTTGTTTTTGAGATAGGGTCTTACTATGTAATTCAGGCTGGCTTTGAATTCGCTATGTAGTCCAAGCTGGCCTTGAACTCAAAGCAATCCTCCTGCCTCAGCTACCTGTGTGCTAGGATTACAGGCATTCACCACTACACCTAGCTAAACTGATGGGTTTTTTTGCATGGGGGATCAAATTTAGGACCTTGTGCTTTCAAGGCAGGCACAGCGCCACTGAGCTACATCCCCAGACCTAAACTGAGTTGGTTTTTTTTGAAAGTAAGGATTGTTTAGGGCCAGGGATGTAGCTCAGTGGCACCACGCCTGCCTGGCAAGTGCAAGGTTCTGAGTTCAATCCCCAGTACCACAAAAAAAAAAAGAAAGAAAGAAAGGAAAGGATTGTTTCTTCCTCATTTCTGTATCCTGATTATCTGGGATAGTTCCTAACATCCAGAAGGCTGTCAGTAATCTTTGTGGAGCCAATGAGTGAGTGTAACATAAAGAGGAACAGCTCCAGATTGAGGCTTGGTCTTCATACAGTAAGAATAAAATAAAGACTGACCTAACTAAAGGGAGAGAGTCATGGTTATTAAGTTAGAAAGAAGAGGCCAGGCACTGTGACACACACCTGTCATCTTAGCATTCAGAAGGCTGAACCAGGAGGATCACCACGAGTTCGAGGCCAGCCTGGGCTGTACAGTGAGACTGCCTCAAAAAAAAAAAGGCCAGGGATTTAGCTCAGAAGTTTTGCTGCCTGCTGCGCAAGCACAAGGACCCAAGTTCGATCCCCAGCACCAAAAAAAAAAAAAAGGAAAGAAGGAAGGAGGGAGATCAGAGAGAGAAGGAAAGAAAAATGAATAGCTAAAACAGGATCTGATTGTAGAGGGCTTCAAATAATAGTTTAAGGAGTTTTAATTGATCTGATAAAGACTAGATAGCCATTTACAATTTTTGAGCGAATAACACAACATTTACATGAAAAGAATGGTTCAAAAGAGTAAAGGTCCCAAGGGACTATCCCTTTATTGTCACTCCTATTTGTAAACTGAAAAAAATCTTCACATACTTGTTTCCAGACTATCTTGAATTCATAAGCCATCACAACTGGTAAGAATTTTAGATTTTGCCTTGCCTAATTCCTCATTTACTAAAGGAACTGAGAGAAAAATTGGTTCCTCGGAATCATATAGGAATACAGTGGCAGTGTCGGCAAAACCACTGTTCTGTTTCCTGTGTATTTCCCTCATTTAGGGTTTTTTCCCCTGCAATAGAGCACAATTTGGAATGCTCATTGTGGTGGCACACACCTGTAACCCTAGCACTCAAGAGGCTGAGGCAAGTTGGAGGCCAGCCTGGGGTACAGAGTGAGTTCAAGGCCAGCCTGAACTACAAAGCAAGACCTTATCTCAAAAAAAAAACAATTTGGAAATATTGTGGCAGAATTTAGTTTTCTGGAGACATGTTTGTATTCTACAAGTTATTGTTTTTTTTGGTACCAGGGATCGAACTTGGGTCCTTGCGCTTGCACAGCAGGCGGTGAAACCACTGAGCTAAATCCCCAGCCTCCGGGTTATTGTTTCTTACAGAGTATTTTTCTGCATGTTTTCAGGTCATCAAATCCTTAAAGTACATCAGATAAAAGGGACTGTATTCACTGAAGTCAATTTTGTGGGATACTCAGAGGAGAAGAGCCCAAAGGTGAGTGGAGTTTGTTATGTAAGAAACATAGACAAAAGCTAGATGTGGCAGTGCATCACTGTGTATGTGGCAGAAGGATCATAGTTTGGAATCTAGCTTGGGGAATTTAGCAAGATTGTATCTCAAAGAATGAGCTAGGAGCTGGTTGTGGTGACACACCCCTATAATCCCAGCACTCAGGAGGCTGAGGCAGGAGGATCACCATGTGAGTCTGAGGCCAGCCTGGCTACATAGTGAGTTGAAGGCCAGCATGCACTACAAAGCGAGACCCTGTCTCAAAAAAAAAAAAAAAATCAAATTAAAAAATAGGAGGTGGCAGTGTAGCTGTGTGGCTGAGTGCCCCTGGGTTCAGTCACAAATGCCTACCCAAATAAATAAATACAAGATTTTTTTGTTTTTTGAGACAAGGCCTTGCTATGTATATGTAGTGCAAGCTGGCCGTGAATGCACTGTGTGGCCTAGGCTGGCCTCTAATTCCCAGGGATCCTCCTGCCTCAGCCTCCGAGTGCTGGCACGACAGGGTGCAGCACCAGGCCTGACAAGGCTCTCTTTGGAAAGCCGTTTGAGAGTGATGCAAATCTGAGAACGACACTGGGGTGAGCACGGAGCCCTCACTTCTGGGTCTCACTGCCTTGCAGGGTGTTGCCAGCACGCCCAGGTCTGCAGCCCTGGGGCTGCTCCTGGTGGAGGATGTGACTGTGCGGCCGGAGAGTGCCACCATCTACAACCACCCCAACGTGCAGGTAGAGCCCAGGGTCCAAACGGGGCAGCCGCGCCAGAGGGGCTTTGTGTCCAACAGCGGGACAGTGAGCGCTCACTCTGTGAGAAGCCTGGCGCCACACGCCTGCAGGGAGCAGCTGCAGGATCAGCGCACGGCTCTTAGGGTCGTCATCTTTTGGCATCGGGCTGTTTTTAGACAGAAGTCCCTTCCTCTGAGCTGTTTATAACCTGAAGGGAATGTATTGGTCTGCTTTTCCCACAGGAAGTATTTAGCCTCGAGGAAGGCTCTGGTTACTTTTCGGTCAGCAGCAGTGAGCCGGACGGACGTCGCTGCCATCACTTACACAGAAGCGGAGAGCTCTGTGCAGGTGAGCCGCGGAGATGTTCCAGAGCGACAGTCTCGGACTGAAGCTCCTTCTCGGAAGGGTTTTGTGTGTAAAACTGGGTACAAAAGTAACATTTGAGCCCAACCTGGGCAACTTAGTGACTTAGCAAGAAGCTGTCACAAAATTTAAAAGTAAAATTAAGATTAGAAATGTGGGTCAGCATAGAGACTCTGGGTTAATCCTCATCACCACAAAAACAAACTAACTGACTAACACTGGCCTCTTTCTCCATCTTCAGCCAGAACTAAGGGTGTCTCCTACAGCTAGCCGCAGTGCTGGGCAGGTTTTGCCCCTGGTCGAACTGAGACAGTTACAGGAGACATGTAGTTAGAAGATTTCCACTAAAAGGTTCATTTCTATAAATTTCAAAACCCATAACTGTGTAACGTGGAAATAAGGACTAAAATGTATAATAGATATTGAGAAATAGGAAGAAAGTATTCAAATGGGAAGGGGAACAAGGGAGGGGAGAGGAGAAAAGGAAGGGACAGGAAAAAAGTGAAGATAGAAGGAAAAAATGGAAGCAGCTTTTCTACATAGGGAGGGGAGAGGGGATGGGAAAAAAGAGGCAGGATAGATCAGGTACAGGTGCAAATTCCTATGATGAGTGTTATCATTATGTGTATCTAAAATATACCAGTAAAGGTTTTGGGTGTTATGGTTTTTTTTTTTTTTGCACTGGGGATTGAACTCGGGACCTTGCACTTGTAAGGCAGGGAGCAGAACCACTGAGCTAAATCTCCGCCCCAGTAAAGGTTTTGGTAAAAAATATTTTTAATTTATTTTAATCATGATACTTGTTTTTGTTTCTTTGTTTTTTGAGATGGTTCTGCCTTGTAGTGCAGGGTGGCCTTGAACTCTGAGATCCTCCCATCTCAGGGTTCCCGAGTCCTGGGATCATAGGCATACGCCATCACACCTGGGCCCTAGGTACAGACACAGAATGTGAAAAACATGCTGTTTTGCAGGAATTGAGGTACAAAGAAGGAAGAAAGGAGGATTAGTTGGCAGGGATTCCTCCCCATGGGTGATTGCAGCATATATTGACTTGATTTTCTTCAAAAAATCTTTTTCCTGTTAATAATTATGAAGCTGGGTACAAACCAGATGTGGTAATGCACACTTAAAATACCAGCACAAGCTGGGTGTGATGGTGCATGCCTGTAATCCCAGCAATGGAGGCTGGGGCAGAAGGATTGCTATGAGTTCGAGGCCAGCCTGGGCTACATAGTGAGTTCAAGGCCAGTCTGAACTAAAAAAAAAAAAAAAGAAGAAGAAAAAAAACCAAAACAGCACATAGGAGCCTTGAGACCACAGGTTATGATTTAAGGCCATGCTGGGCTATATAGTGAGTTAAAGCCAGCCTTAACTACACAGTGAGTCTGTCTCAAAAGAAAACAAGCTGGGCATGGTGATGTACACCTGTAATCCCAGCACTTGGGAGGCTGAGGCAGGAGGATCCTCATGAGTTTGAGTCCACCCTGACCTACATATTACATGTTGAGACCTTGTCTCAAAAAGCAAACAGACATGGGCCAGGGATTTAGCTCAGTGGTTTCACCGCCTGCCTCGCAAGCACAAGGACCCGAGTTCGATCCCCAGTACCAAAAAACCCCAAAAAACAGACACAAGACAGAGGTTGTGCGGGGTCGGGGGGAATATATGAAATCTCCTTAAATTCATCACTTTAAACTCGGTTCATCAGTTAATATCTGTTTTTGTTTTTCTTTTCTTTTTTAATTTTTTTGGTACCAGGGATCGAACTTGGGTCCTTTCACTTGCGAGGCAGGCAGCAGAACCACTGAGCTACATCCCAGCCCTTTGTTTTTCTTTTAAATAGCAAAGCATTTATTGGTACATTTTAGGCAAACATAATGGTAACATTCATCATAGGGAATTTACACCTGTGCATGATACATCCCCCCACTTTTTCCCATTCCCCTCTTCCCGTCAACTGCCTCTCCCCTCCCTATATCAAAAGGTTTCTTTCCATTTTCTCTTGTATTTTCATTTCTTTTCTTTTCCCTTCCTTCCTTTCTCCCTCCCTTCCTTTCTCCCTCCCTCTTCCCTTGTTCCCCTTCCCATTTGAACACTTTCTTCCCATTTCCCCATATCTATTATACATTTTAGTCCTTATTTCCACTTTCAGTTTCTCACACCAGAGAAACAATGCAGTATTTAAACACATGCGTCGGATTTATTTTACTTAGGACTATGGTCTCAAGGTCCATCCACTTAGCTCATCCTTCTTTATGGCAGAGTAGTACTCCATTGTATATATAAAAAAAATCTTCTTTATCCATTTGTCAGTTGATGGGCATTTGGTCTGTTTCCAAGATATAGCTATTACAAACTGTGCTGCTATAAACATGGGTGTGCATATGTCACTGTGGTGTGATACTTTTAATTCTTTCAGGAAGATACCAAGAAGGGGGAATAGCTGGGTCACATGGAACATCTAGTTTTAGTTCTTTGAGGTATCTCCACACTGATTTCCACAGTGGTTGCACCAGTCTACACTCCCACCAGCAGTGGAGAAGGGTTCTTTTTTCCCCACAGCCCTACCAGCAGATGTTATTGGTTGATTTTTTTCTTTGGTTGATTTCTTAATAACAGCCATTCTTTCTAGATTGAGATAGAATCTCAGCATTGTTTTTTTTTCCTCCCCAGTTGCTTTAATTTGTATTTCTCAAATGACCAGTGATGTTGAACATTTTTGCATATATTTATTTGCTGTTTCTGCTTTTTTTTTTTTTTTTTGTACCGGGTATTGAACTTAGGACCTTACAGTTGCAAGGCAGGCACAGTGTCACTGGGCTAAATCCCTGGCCCTGTTTCTACTTCTTCATCTGAGAAATGTCTGTTCATTTTGGATGCCTATTTTTGTATTGAGTCTTTAAATTTGGAGGAGTCTGATTTTTTTGAGTTCTTTATATATTCTAGATAGTAGTCCTTCGTCTCTGTCTGATGAATAGCTGATAAAAAAATTTTTTCCCACACTGTGGGTTGTGTCTTCACTCTGTTGGTGGTTTTTCTTGCTGTGCAAAAGCTTTTTTTTTTTTGGTACCGGGGATGGAACTCGGGACCTTGCGTTTGTGAGGCAGGCACCAGAACCACTGAGCTAAATCCCCAGCCCAAAACTGTCAATGTGCTTTCAATGGAGTTCTTTCTTTCTTTTTGGTACCGGGGACCGAACTCGGGTCCTTGCGCTTGCACAACAGGCGGCGAAACCACTGAGCTAAATCCTCAGGCCCTCAAAAGCTTTTTAATAAGATGAGGTCCCAGGCTGGGGATGTAGCTCAGTGGTGACATGCCTGCCTGGCAAGCCCAAGGTCCTGAGTTCGATTCCTGGTACCAAATAATAAAATAATAAGGTGAAGTCCCAGTTGTTGTATCTTTGTGTTAGCAACCAGGGTTTTGTTCATAAAGTCTTTGCCTACGCCAGTGTCTTCGAGAGTCTCACCTATTCTCTCTTCCAGCAGATTTAGTGTTTCTGTTTTAATATTTAGATCTTTGATCCATTTTGATTTTAGGTTAGTGCATGGTGAGAGACAGTTTCAATCTTTGGCATGTGGAAAGCCAGTTTTTCCAGAACCATTTATTGAAGAGGCTATCATCAGTTAATATTTGTTAAGGTGTTTATTTTTCCATAAACTGAAACATTCTTTCCAGCCTCCATACTATGGTGAGCCATAGGTACCATGCACACTGACCTCTGAGAGTTCCCCTCGGAAAGGAGTAAAACGTACCTTGTGCTTTGAGCGAAACGGTTGCATGGCTGCACCTGGAGCACTTTCTTCTATACCCAGCAGCCATCTCCTTCTTCGTAGTTAGTTCCTGTACGGCCTGGATTTCTCACCCTGGAAGTCTGTGATCTGTGCCTGGCTTTCTCCGTTCCAGCAAAAGCCCACCTGAGGGTGTCAGACATACAAGAACTGGAGCTCGATTTGATCGATAAGGTGAGAGCTGCGGCCTTCAACTTGGAAGGGAAGCCAGATTCTTTCTCATTCCACAGCATCGCCTAACAGTTGGCTCAACTGCTGTGTGTATGCCAGGACTTTTGGTATGTTCACGGAAGAACTTCCCTTAGAGATCAACATTCCAGTATTACACATGATGAGGATGAAAACAAGTGTTAAAGGACAGCTAGAAGCTGGGTAGTTGTGCAAGCCTATAATCCCAGCTATTCGAGAGACTGAGGCAGGAAATTCTCAAATTTAAGGGTAACCTGGGCAATTTAGTGAGACGCTGTCTCAATTAAAAAAATAAAGGCTCAGCCGGGGATTTAGCTCAGTAGTTCCGCCACCCTGCCTCACAAACACAAGGTCCCAAGTTCAGTCGGGTACCTAAATAAATAAACAAATAAATAAAGGCTCAAACCAGAGAGTAATGACACACACCTATAATCACAGCACTTGGGAGGCTGAGGCAGGAAGATTGCTGTGAGTTCAGGGCAGCCTGAACTACATAGTGAGACCCTGTCTCAAAAAAACAAATAAAGGCTAGAGGTGTAGCTCAGTGATTGAAGCGCCCCTGGGTTTGATCCCTACTACTGTGAAAACAAACAAAAAACAACTTAAAACACATAGTATATATACATAGAGTAGGTTCATTTGGTCAAAGGCTAACCATGATGAAGAAGTTTGCTCTCTCCGAGGAGTTAGACTGTTCTTGATGAGTGAGAAGTACAATCTGTTTTCCTTTTTTTTCAAACTGCTAGGTTGAGATAGGCAGAACTGTGTTTGTGACAGTGAGGGCTCTCAACTCTTCCAAACGCCCATTCCGAAATAAATACTTCAGGAACATGGAGCTCAGGCTGCAGCTCGCGTCGGCCATCGCCACTCTGACGTGAGTGCCATGTCTGTGCCTCTTTCCTCCTGTGCTCAGTGTTGTAGAAATCCCCTCCTGGCAGTCTGGTCAGCGTCCCTCTGCTTATTCCAGATTCTCTCCTGTTCCTCTCTGTTACGATCCTTCCCTGCACTCTTCCCATCTTCAGCTCTCCAGAAAACGTACATTGCCTGTCCTGAGCTGTCTCGGTTGAGGCCCAAATCGTGTGTGTGTCATTTATGTGCTTATTTCTGAAGTTGCTGCTTGGAGGATACCTTTTGGGAGTGCTGCTGGTAGAGGATCTTCAAAAGTCTATTGAGAAGCAGAGTTACTGGTATTCTACTCTGAGAAAGGAAAAATGCAAGAATTCCAATTTTGCCAGTCTGGGTTTCTATCCCTCTCTTTCCTTTGTTGTCAAGTTTTTCCCCTTGAGAGCTTCCTGTCATTATCATATTTGTCTTGGCTCTTTCCAAGACAATGAGCAGAAATGAGTTATGATGAACAGAAAATGAATAAGCGTCTCAAAAAGGTGCCCCACCAGCCACTCTCCAAGTCTTTCTCACCTAGAAACACGTTGACCCTTGCAGACTAATGGAGGAACAGGATGCGTACTCTGAAAACTATGTCCTTCAGGCCATCGCTATTGGGCAAACCACACTTGTGGCTGCCGCCAGAGACAAGACAGGGAGAAAATTCACATCAGCCCCTCGGCACATTGAAGTAAGAAAATGTTCTCATTCGGAATTTGCACTTTGTCTTATTTGACATTGTTCATCTTTTTATGTCTAGTTTGCACAAGCTGAAAAGTCACTTGATAGCCGGGCATGGTGGCACATGCCTGTAATCCTAGCACTTGGGAGGCTGAGGCAGGAGGATCGACACAAGTTCAAGGACAGCCTGGGCTACATAGTGAGTTCAAGACCACCCTGAACTACATAGTGAGACCCTGTCTCAAAACAAAACAAAACATCATAAAGGTAATTTTAATGATCCCTTTTGCTCCAGTGCATTGATGTAGTAATTATTTTTAATTTTTTTACCATTGTGAATAAAATAAAAATACATATATTTGTGTAACTTCTTTGCACATAATGAGTTTTCCTTATAAACTAATGATTCTCATCAGTCGTTATCCTTTTGATTTTCTCCTTCAAGGTGTTTCCTCCATTCAGACTTGTTCCAGAGAAAATGACACTGATTCCAGCTAACATGATGCAGGTGATCATGAAAGCAGAAAGATAACGCATACCATTTCTCTTTACACACGCGCGCACCCTCTTCCGGCTGGCCTCCTCTTGTCTGTTCCCAGCCACACACCACTGCATCTGATGGAGGGGCTTTCCCCGGCCTGTGCTGCACATAGTATCTGCTGTCACCAGAACCCTGTGCATCACCTGCAACGCTCCGCTTCCTCTGGATTTGCATCCATGTGGGGTGTGGTGTTCAGCAAGTGGGGGCGAGAATGAAGTCAGGTCGCTTGCACAAAATGTCAGGAGAGGTGTGACTTCTCGCAACATTTAGGTGCTTGCTGTGTTTCCATCCCAGGTGACATGCGAAGGCAGCCCTCAACCCCAGTCTGTCAACCTCTTCTCCAGCAGTAATCAGTCGGTGGCTGTCGTTAACAGGAGGGGGCAGGTTACAGGGAGAGCAGTTGGCACAGCTGTGGTCTATGGCTCCATCCAGACAGTAAATGAAGACACTGGCAAAGTCATTGTATTTTCCCAGGTATTGAGCCTTCACTGTGCTTGACTTCTGCTCTCTCACTGGGGCCATATGGGAGATCAGTGGGGAAGAAGAGGCAGGGGAGAATGTCAGCAGGCCAGGAAAACCCTTTTAGAAAGAAAGCCTCAGCGGGCCAGGGATTTAGCTCAGTGGTGTCGCCACCTGCCTCACAAGCACAAGGTCCCAAATTCAATCCCCGGTACCAAAAAAAAGAACTAGAAAAAAAGCCTTAGTAGCTGGATGTGGTGAGCACATCTGTCATCCTAGCACCTGGGAGGCTGAGGCAGGGGAATCATTGCAAGTCTGAGGCCAGCCTGGGCTACATAGTGAGTTCAAGGCCGGCCTGAACTGCATAGTGAGACCCTGTCTCAAAAAACAAATGAACAAATGAAACACGCCTCCCTAGCAAGTGCAAGGTCCTGAGTTCGATCTCCAGTACCAAAAAAGATCTGTACTGAAAACCCCACAGAATAGTTGGCAGTATTGTAAGACACCATTCCTATCCTTAAGGAATTCTTAAAAAACAAAAATACAAAACCAGAAATGTCCATCATGTGAGACTCTTTGTTGAACTAGTTGTCATAGCATCTGTCCACCCCATAGAACTCCCTCCTACCCTAAGCTTGTGCTCTACCCATTGAGCAGGATGAAGTGCAGATTGAAGTTGTTCGGCTAAGGTCTGTTAGGATCGTTGCAGCTACAACTCAACTCATCACCGATGCCGAGGTTGGTACGGGGCTCTCTTCCGGTCTGTGGTTCTGACGATGCCCGGTGCAAAGGCAGACAGCACAATCCCACTTATTCTCTGCAGATGCCAGTGTATGTCATGGGAGTGACCAGTACACAGAGCCCTTTCTCCTTTAGCAATGCCCACCCAGGGCTCACTTTCCACTGGTCCCTGAGCAAAATGGATGTGTTGGATCTAGTGCCCAGGCATTCAGAGGTAGGTGTTTATCTGTTCATTATATTACCCTGATTCTAAATGGATTTCATCATAAGTTTTCAACTGATTGACTCACCTTTTTTTGAGACAGAGTCTTGCTATGTAGCCCAGACTAGCCTGGAACTCTTGGTGATCCTCCTGCCTTAGCGTCCCAAGTGCTGGGATCACAGGCATGTGCCACCATGCTGGGCTAGTGATTGACTCATTTTTTAAACTATACGATATTTTTTCCTAAACTATACAGTATTATTACTTGATTCTTTTTCCTTGTTCTTTGAAATCTGGAAACCTGAAAATCACGTGAAGAATTCAAATTTGAGTACTCAAATGATACTATATGATTTTTAAATATTTTTTGCTGGAAAGAGCTCTGAAAAGCAGCCTTTAATATATTTTTGCATGAGGCCGGGGATTTAGCTCAGTTGTTCTAGTGTCTGCTATGCAAGAGCAA